GTAGAGGAGACCTTGGATCTCTACAGGTCTTACTTTGGGCTGGATGATGCCTCACTGGAGAATATTGCCAAGGATTTTAACGTGTCTGTGAATGAAATCAAGGCACAACTTAAGTCTCTCCATTTGCTAACAAGGACCACAGACATGTCCTTCGAGGAAAAATTATTGAAATATATTGAATATATTTCCTCTGTTACTGGGGGTCCACTTGCCACAGGCCTTTACTTTAGAAAGACTTACTATTTGAAAAGTCTCTTCATTGATACCGTGTCAAGTGATGCCAAGACTCTTCTCAATAAGGAGGAGTTTTTATCACAGAAGCTGGGGTCATGTGTGTCTGATGACCCAGAGTACTGGGATGCGGTTATGGAGCTATGAGGCATGTACCTTCCAGATGGCTTTGGGCACTGACTTACAGCCTACTTTGAAGTAGCAATCATTTTCAGTGAAAGACCAGAGGATTCACCATCCCTTTCCTCTTTCAGAGACAGACTGTCACTGCAGCAAGTAGAAGAAGAGTCATCAACAGTGTAAAAACACATGAGAACAGCTGTCTCCCATTAAAACACCATGTATGAGAATACATGGTTGTAAACATATGACTTACAATATCTTTGTCCAGTTAAACTTGGATCTTTTGTCTCACGGAGATTCTCCAGGCATTGACACACTCTCCTAAGATGAAGAAGTTAGTTCCTGCCTTGGTGGATATCTTTTGATGTTTATGAAGTACAGGGGGCTGGTTCCCAGCCCACATCTCCACATGAAGTGGTATCTCCTGGACATGATAGACACATGCTAGATAAGATTATGACCACTGTTCATTCTCCCTCCAGGATGGATTCAAGAGACACATGGTAGATGGGACTGTGACCACTGCCCATGATCCCTCCAGGTAACGCCTGTGTGGGTGAACACATCTGCAGGTCCTCTCAATTCTTGAAAACAAGGATATTTTATTCCATATCCTTCATCAGTCAACCTGAATGAATTCAAATTTCAGGTTGTAGGCAGCACAAGTGATGATTAAATTGTCTTTCCTTGTGGTAAGATCACTCCAAAACACTACCTTACTGTTTCATGTCCAGTGGGGATGTTGGTACTTTCCTTCACTTGAGAGGGGTCAGCATGTGAAGTTATAGACAGCTTATTTGTCCACAGCATCCTATTGAGAACTGGTATCACTTTTGGACATCTAATATCACTTTTTGCTAAAATTCCAGTGTTGCTTTCTGTATGTATAGCTGCCCTTCTAGAAGGTGGATAAAGAGTCATGCATGGGATTCCATGTGCAGAAAGCAAGCGTGGACATTTTAGCTCTGCCTTGGTGTTCTTCAGAGAACAGGAAGCAATATATCATATCCATATCTCCTTATAATTATGTTTGGATCTATATAGCATTTGTATTAATTCCTTTTATGTCACCGTGTCCTAAACACCTGACAGAAACTACTTAAGAGAAGAAAGTTTTAATCTGGCTCACGTTTTGGAGCCCTGCGCTCTGTCATATGGAAGGGGCCTGGTGAGAGAAAGAACTCGCTGTAGGCGAAGGCTGGGAGCGAGGTGGCAGAAAGAGCTAGGTGACAACAAGGAGCAGGAGTAACAAGTCCTGGCCTGGTGACCTAACACCTAAAGGCTCAGCCACATTCACAACTGTTTGCCATGCTGGGGACCAGGTGTTTAACACAAGAGCATGTGGTGGTCTTCAAACCACAGCACTGTCCTTCCATAACTTAGCATGTCTCTGTCCTCAACTTCCTCTCCTCCTTTCTCTTCCTCTTTCCCTCATCTCCCTCTTTCTTTTCCTCTTTTTCCTTCTCCTCTTCTTCTCCCTGGCTTCTCTCTCTGCTTCTCTCCCTGCCCCTGTCTCTCACTGGCTCAATCTGCTGTGTGCCTTGGCAAGCACATTATCACCAGGGCAGCCTTGCAGCCTGGAAATCCTTGGAAAAGTTGATAGTGCAGCTTCTGTCCAAACAGTAATAATTGTTTCCTGTCCTTCCCAGGAGTGTCAAAGTTTGCTTTGGTTTTTTTTTTTGTTTACCTGTAAGGTCTTCAATTGGTTAGACAGGGGCATTTACAGTAGAGGAGGGTCATCCGAAGTAGTCAAAGCCTCATGGTTTAAAATATAATCTCATCTACAAATTACTTTAACCCAAACATCTATACTGGTGTGTTGCTTGCTCTGCAGCTGGGGTCCCACTGTCTCTGATCGTGGGGGAGGGGGTCAAAGACACAGAACCCAATGACACAGGCTCTTGGAGTTTGTAAGCAATCTCGCTTATTAAACAAAGGACTGAGGTATTTATGTGTGTACCTTTGGCCGGCTCTGCTTCCAGCTGCTGTGGTATTTCCTGGTTGGCTCTGAGTCATATGTCAACAGTGGTCATCTTGAGGGTCCAGTTTCAGGTTCCTCTGGGTCCAGATACTACTGCACATGTCGGAGCTCTTTGTTACCTTAAGGCATGACCCAGTGCTCTAGGCCTTATCTGCCTCACCAGTGTTCAGGAATTACTTGGGTACTGCCTTAGTTAGGGTGTCTATTGCTGCAAAGACACACCTTGAAACCGGCAACTCTAATAAAGGAAAAAATTTACTTGGGACTAGGTTACAGTTCAGAGGTTTCATCCATTATCATCCTGATAGGTGGCATGCAGGCAGTCCTGGTGCTGGAAAAGGAGCTGAGAGTTCTGCACCTTGATCCACAGTCAGTAGAAGGAGTCTGTGTTCCACACTGGGCATAACTTGAGAGTAGGAGACATGAAAGCCTGCCCGCCACAGTGACACACTTTCTCTAACAAAGCCGCACTTCCTCACAGTGCTACTCCCTAAGGAGGCCATTTTATTTCAGACCGCCACAGGTACCATCACCTAGACAAGATAATATGTAAAATTAATTTCTTCAAGCCCCATAATTATCCTAACCCACTGTATACCAGCATATATATGCAAATATATATAGTTAAAAAATTCTAGTTACAATTGTACTTACTTGTAGATACAGTGTGACAATGTGACTCAAATAAAAAATACATAATTATCAAATTTTGAGAGACTGCTCAGCAGTTAAGAGCACTGACTGCTCTTCCAGAGGACCTGGATTCAATTGCCAGCATTCACATTGCAACTCATAACTGACTGTAACTCCAGCTCCAGGGCATCTGACACCCTCAGAGAGACATGCATGCAAGCAAAACACCAATGAACATGGAATAAAAATAAATAAATCTTTTTTAAAGTCTGAGGAATCAGACTTTAATATGGAAATATTCTTACTCGTATTAAAATTATTGTTACTAACTGATAATAATTGCCACTATTAATAAGTACATGTATACAGTACATGCTGACCAATTGAGGATACATTTATCATTTTACTGTCCTTGTCCAGTCTCTGGGGCATCTGAGCGTCTCTGTTGTGCTCATTCATAAAGAGCATCACAGGTTATTTTAAAGAAGAATCTCTGTGCTGTGTTGCAGCACACCGCAGCCTACTCCTTCCATTTAACCCTTTTGGGACCTGTTATCCAAACTCTCTCTGCTCCTCTCTTCACCTTTCCAGCTTCTAGGAATCACTATTCTACAGTCACATCAACCACTGGAGTGTACCACTTCACGTGTGTAGTATTCACAAGTAATTCCTACTCTTTCTGACTCATTGTCCTCTGTGACACCACCTACTGAGCAGTCTGCTCCTGGTGACCACTTACCTGCCTCTGTGTCATGGAGAACACCCAGGGCCCAGTCTCAAGGAGGCTTTAATCTATTTCTGTGTGGTTCAACACTGACAGTCACAGTGGGAAGCCATTACTGTAGTGTATGAAGCAAGGGAAGCTCTCAGTAGAGAAGTCCATTATGAACAGGAGGCTTCTTGTCATGTACATGGGAAGTGTTTCTATACATCACAGGTTTGTGTGTGATGGTTTATATGGACTGTCAGCATGACAGGATCTAGAGTCGCCTTGGAGACAAATCTCTGGGAATGTCTGTAAGGGATTATCTGATTATGTGAATCAAGATGGGAAGACCCACCATAAATGTGGGCAGCACCATTCCCTACGCCAGAGCCTTGGACTGCATAAAATAGAGAAAGCCAGCTGAGCGCCAGCTTTCATCTCTCTCTGCTCCCTGACTGCAGGTGCCATGTGATCAGCTGCCTCCCCCATCACAACAGACTGTAGTCTTGTTCTGTGAACCTGAATAAACTCCTTCCCTCTTCAATTGTTTTTGCCTGGATATTTTATCACAGCAACAGGAAAACTAATACAAGTAACTGTGCGGCTGGGCAATGGTGGCACACACCTTTAATCACAGCACTCAGGAGACAGAAGCAGGCAGGAATCTGTGAGTTCAAGGCTAGCCTGGTCTTCAGAGTAAGTTCCAAGATATCCAAGGCTACACAGAGAAATCCTGTCTTTGGATTTCTAGTGCTGTGAAGAGACACCATGACCATGAAAACTCTTATGAAAGAAACATTTAATTGGGGAAGCTCTACTACAGTTTCAGAAGTTCAGCCCATTATCATCATGGGCTTTTTCTCCTCAAAATTTACATTTTATAATTTACTCTGCTCAGATTGTTCCTTTGCATTATAAATCTTCATTAGAGTTAACACTAATAACTACATGAAAGAGTCCATACTAGGCTATTTTGAGAATTTTTCTGCCAATGGAATTAATCCAAAAGTCTGAACTTTAACCTCAGCCAGACTCTTTGGGCAAGGGCAAAAGGCAGCCACTTTCTTCACCAAAATATCACAAGAACGATCTACTAAGGCAACATACTAAAATTCTTCTCCTCTGTAACCTCATGAGCAAACTCCCACAGTTCATCAAATCACATTCAACACCACTGTCTTCCATGCTCATACTAGTGTGGCCCATTAAGCAGCACTTAAAGCATTCAACTACTTTTCTAATCCACAGTCCCAAGGTTCGTATTCCTTCAAACAAAAACATGGTCTGGCCCATCACAGCAATACCCCTCTCCTGGTACCAACTTCTGTCTGAGTTAGGCCTTCTATTGCTCTGAAGAGACACCATGACCACAGCAACTCTTATAAAGGAAACATTGAATGGGGTAGCTCAAGGTTTCAGAAATTCTGTCCATTATCATCCAGGGATCATGGTAGCATGCAGGCAGACATGGTACTGGAGAACTAACTGGGAGTCCTACATTGCAGGAAACAGGAAACGTTCTGAAAGTAGGAGGGAAGATTGAAAAAAGAGACCTCAAAGACCACCCCCACAGTGACACACTTCTTCTAATGGTGCCACACCTACTCCAACAAGCCACAACTCCTAATAGTGCCACTCCCTATGAGCTTATGGAGTCCAGTTACTTCAAACTACCACAAACCTTATCTCAAAAAAAACACAAAACAAACAAACAAAAACAAAAACAAGTAACTGCCCGTTGATTATCAACAATGAGCTTCTACTAATTCAACTTGTGGTGTATTGCAAATGTCCAGTCTATTTATACTATGTGTGGTATTGATATGTGGTATGTGTAGTAAGTGTGGAGTGGATGAGCATGAATCCTGCCTGCAGTTTGTTGAAACATCAAAATGCTGTACTAAATGATAAATGCTTAAAACTGTACAAGGAAATCACTGGTTGAACACACGAGAACAAATGCCGTAGGAAGACAGTCCTCATGGACATTCCAGACCCAGATAAATACCCAGAGGAATACCTGAACTGCACATTTTTCAGCTGTGTGCCTTCACCTCTATGTCTACAGTGAATGAACAACTAGACAGGACAATCTCACTGTCAAAGCAGGACATTAGAAGCTCCAGTTCTGAGTGCACACCCAGCAGGGATGGATGCCATGGTCTGTCTGCACATTCACCTCATCCTAAGCAGCAAAGCAATCATTGATTTCTTTCCCCATCAGTCCAGCAATGTACAGAAAACAAACATGCAGGAAGCCATGGGAAATCTAAGGCCAGTTCTAATGTCTGAAGATGGCATGGAGTGTATGTGTCCATGCAAGGAGATGTGGGAGCTTGAGAGACTATGCCCTGGGGTACATTGAGCCTCCTCCATTGACTTATGGATTCTGTGAAAGGGAAAATCGATTTTGGCGGGCATGACTCCTGATAGGAAAAAAAAAGTGGCCCCACCCTCATGGGTGTATGAGTGGCAGAAATTGGACTCTGGATTGTAATTTATAAAAGAGACAAAGATGACATGAAGTTGGAAGGAAATACGGGATGTAGGAGTGGGCCTAGGCAAAGTCAGGAAAAGAGAATATGATCAAGATGCATTCTGTGCATGTATAAAATACTCAAAGATATAATAAAAATTATACATTCTAAAATATTATGGAGACAGAGTAAAGAGGGGAAAATCAGAATTGCTTTGTTTTAAGAAGGACAGACAAACATGTTTGGGGCTTTTGGTCCTTTCTTCCTGACTGGAGCTGGCTCTCTGGTCCTACCTTCTTGTAAAGTGGGAGCTTATCTTCTTGGAGATTTCCTCCAAGAAGCTCAGGCCCAGGCTTCCCTTCCCTGAGCTTGGGGCATAGCTTTGAATGCTTGAGAAAAAGCAGTTTGGTTTCAGAAATGATTTATTACACAAACCTTCATCCTGGTCTGGTGAGGTATGTAACAGGAGGGGCTGGAGAGATGGCTCCATTGTAAAGAGCACTGGCTGTTCTTCCAGAGGATGCAGGTTCGATTCCCAGCACCCACATGGTGGTCTGACATGGTCTTTTGTCATTCCCAGTCATTCAATTCTTGTTCATGCAAAGGGGGTGGATGCTGCAATTCCCTAGATGACATCCGGTTATACAGAGTAAACAAAGACAGACAGATGGAAAGAAAAGGGCAGGCTCAGTACTAAGGGAAGTCAGTGTGACAACCCTTTGAAACTGGTTCGCAGGTGCTTGTGCCTACACTCAGCCCTTTCCTGCTTGAGTGGGAGGAAGCCAGGCACAAAGAAATGGGTGATGTTGCAGCTTAAGAGAGAGTAGATCGGGCAGAATGTGTGCTCAGGTCAACAGAGCAAGACTCTGGTAGTTCAGGGCTGCACGAGATACCTAGCTCCTATCCTGCCCAACCTGTCTCCTTCCAGAGTAGGACTCAGGCTCAGCACTGCCCTCCACTCCTGCTCCTCTTTATTCAAATTTGCAGGAAGAACTTCCAGTAATTACAGAACAGCAGATGGAATGACAGAGCTGCCTGACCTTCTGGAAGAAATGTAGTGGGTAGCCATTCCAGCTTGGTTCTGGAAGTTCCAACCCCCATTGAGACTCTGGCAACTGTCACGCCTACGAGGCGGGGCGAGGGGAGGCGCCTGGGGACCCGAGAGCTGGATGGGCCAGCGCTCCCTCTGGGCGCTCTCTCGGTGCCGGAACGCTGACAGGTGCAGATTGACTGTGCAGAGCTCCGGAGAACACCGCTGGACTGCATTACACCTTCCCCAGACCCTGCGACCTACCCATTACTTAATTTGTGAGTTACACCATTAAATAAATATCCTTTTAACAAAAAAAAAAAAAAAAAAAAAAAAAAAACCCGGCTAGCTCAGTCAATAGAGCATGAGACTCTTAATCTCAGGGTCGTGGGTTCGTGCCCCACATTGGGCGCCAGATATTGGAGAAATTATTTTGGCCACTCCACGTAGTTAAAAGGATATTTATTTAATGGCGTAACTCACAAATTAAGTAATGGGTAGGTCGCAGGGTCTGGGGAAGGTGTAATGCAGTCCAGCGGTGTTCTCCGGAGCTCTGCACAGTCAATCTGCACCTGTCAGCGTTCCGGCACCGAGAGAGCACCCAGAGGGAGCGCTGGCCCATCCAGCTCTCGGGTCCCCAGGCGCCTCCCCTCGCCCCAACCTCGTAGGCGTGACAGTTGCCAGAGTCTCAATGGGGGTTGGAACTTCCAGAACCAAGCTGGAATGGCTACCCACTACAAAGAAACATGGCTCCTTATGCCCTGTACCTACTTTTCCTGGAAGACCCCCCACCCACTCCACCTTTTCATCTCGGGAATATCATGAGTGTGTTATTCCTGCTATGACTTGTGAACACACCCAGTCCCTGGCTCCCTCCAGAAGTCAACCATTAACCAAAGGATTCCAAGCTCTTAGGAATCGGAGCTCCCCTCCTACCCCAGCTCGGTACCTCTTCCCACTAAGACACCTGCGTACTAACAGGAGACCACTTCTCAGTGTTCTTGATGAAATCATCTCCCTATGAAGACTGTGAAGTGGGAGGAAGCAGGTGTGAGACAGGAACCTGTGACAGGGAGCAGCCTCGGTGACTGTGTGCAACCATCTGAGGGCCAGAATGGCTCTGGGAGTCAGGATTGCCCAGAGTAAGATGAAAAACACTGGGTGGACAGGGTCCAGGTAGGGATTTACACAGTCAGAGCCAGGAAGGCCAGACCCTTTGGCTGAACTGTGATCATCTCTGGGCAGATTATGCAAAGTCTGGAATTCAGCTAAGACCCTCTGAGAAGGATGGAGAACTGGCTGAATATGCAAACAAGGTCCAAATATAAGGACCAAACCAGCCTTCACTGCAGCCTCCACCCTACAGGGTCTGGGCAGGAAGAACTGAGGGGTAGAAATCGTAGAACAGAGGACAGGGGCTTTCAGTGGACCGGATCTGCAAGGAAACCCAGGAAGATCAGAGCACTCTCAGCTTCAACTCTGTCTGGGGCTCCGAGCATCCTAGAAGGATCTCAAAACTTCACACCTCACCCCTTCTTTCCTCAGTCTGGATAAGAGTCCTTGGAGGATCTTTCATCAAGCCCTCCCTGAACTCAAGCTATTTCCTTAGAGAGAGAAACAGAGGAGACACTTCAGGAGGAAAGTGGCATCTGGCCACAGTCACTTCCATAGCAGGTAAGTGGAAGGCCTCGCTTACTTTTCCTACCCTTTTCTCTGACAAAGACAACTTCAAAACAAGGGTGCATTTTTGTTTGTGGTTTATGAAGAGCTGCCACCTGTCTTAGTTACTTAGCTATTGCTCTGATAAAACACCACGACCAAGCAACTTGGAAAAGAAAGCATTTGATTGGGGGCTTATACCCACAAGCAGCTGGCACAGAGAGCTAACTGGAAATGGCATGGACTTTTGAAACTTCAGGGCCACCCCCAGGGACACGCCTCTCCAACAAGGTCACACCTTCTAATCCTTCCCAAACATCCCACCAACTGTATTCAAAGTGTTCAGACCTATGAGCCTATGGGAACCATTCTCATTCA